CCCATGTTCATCCCGCGGGTGTGTAAGAACCGACTAAGGGAGCAAACTATGCATAACAAAAGCACTGGAAAAAGAAGGAAAAATTAAAACAAACCCTATACCAACACGTCTAGCCAGCGTGGTCAAAACCTCCTATCTAAGGAGAGGCTTATGTCCAGCAGTGGACTATGAAAGGCTGTTGTATTTCATAAATGATCTCTGTTGTCATGATGATAAATCAGGTTTTCATAAATATACTAACTGATCGAACTCAACGAATCGAACGCTAATAAATCCGTTCTACTGCGGAATAGTAAATTTCACGATTTTCACAAAATACAGGAAATAACGACACTTGTGACGTCAGCACTTCCATTGTTATATTTAGCAAATGTAAGCCGGCTCTAGCGTTACGATACAACTGAAGCCGGACTAAAACCAGTCAACTGTGCTTTAGGTATTGAATTTATGATGGAGCCTGATTAGGCATGGTGTCAATTCGGGGAGGACCTGAAATAACATGGTCCGGGTGGTCCCCAGAGTAGGACACCTAAGGCCAACCATCGGGGAGGTTTTTAGTTTAGGTATTGAATTTATACTAATATTATAAAGCTGATGATTCTGTTTGTTCGGTTGAAAGCGCTAATCTCAGAAACTACTGGTTTGAGTAGAAAAAATCTCTAAGAGTTTGATAACCCATTTATCGAGGAAGGCTATAGGCTATATAACATCATGATATTATAAATGGGAACAGAGCATCCATGAAAAACGTTGCAAAAAAGGGGCAAATTTATTCTTTTGACAGAAACAGACGAAGTTGCGCCGATCATCTAGTGTGTTCCTATCCTGATGAACGACTTACCATCGTAAGTCAATTTCAGAATTTGATATGACAATCTATATATATATACGAGTATATATGTTAAGTTGGGTTGTGTACTCTTCAAATACTCAAAAACTTCCGCGCATTTCATCTTCATCTTAAATTTTGAAACGATATGCAACCCGCTAGATTGCTTTTCTCAATTTTTTGGGTCGGTTTTCTTCCACATTTCTCATCAATACAAAATGTGCCACGGCAAAGCGTAGCTAGGGTACACCTAGTCATGATATAAAACAAAAGAATTTATTTAATTCGACTGCACGGATGGCGTAGTAGTCTAAGCGGCCACCTCGCCGCTTCCTACTGCACTGGGTGTTGTAGGTTCCATCCCCACATGAGACAACACTTTGTGCGATCCACAAATTGTTCTTCTGTGTCTGGGTCCGTTTCATGTATGTTTGTAAAGTCCCCTGCAAAACAGGATTTATTCCTAGTGCAGGAGTTGTATGTGAAAAAATATATTGTATGTTTGCAGATACTCATTAGTGTTAGTTCTCGTACACCCCTTGAAAAGTAACAAAAGATTAACAACACCGGTTTTCACTTCGGCAATATTATTCCAATTAACACATTATATTTATTTATCCTGCTTAACGTAACTTAAGTACCGAAGTATTCGTAGTAACTATTGTAGACGCCTAGACAGTGATAATGGCATAGTGATATGTGTGTTACGTCATATCTTATGACAATTATGTATCTATTTTTAAAACTTAACTATTAACTGAATTGGTTCAAAATAAGTCCTTCTTGAGTTTAAAAATATTTTTCACCTTATATTTATCTAAGAGTTTTAGGTACTTTATTGTCAGTTTACAGAATATTTTATTAGCTTATAGAAATTTAAGAGTATTTATACTTATAGTCTTCTATATTTACTTCTTTTAAGATATAATTTTTAGCAGTAATATTAATAACGTTATTGCTGAATTAATTAAGTAAAGCTGAGAAAACTTATATCGCGTCATAGGGCTTGTTCCTTTTGGAACAGGCTCTCTTTTACATCCCTGGAACAAAGTACTGGTATAGCAATATTAATATAAAATTAAAAGAGCTTGCAATGCCCTAGAACCCGAAGGCCAATTCTCGTAATAAAAGTTCGGTCACAATTCAGTTCCGATCAACTTTCGATCTCACAACTGTCATAAAAGGTATTTTCGTAGTAAAATAGTAAAGTATTACTAAGACTAGCAGATTACCGATTCAATTTTCGGTTACAATACGATATAATCACATTACAGTCAACGTTGGATGTTTAATTCTGCGAAAATACCTTTGCGAAAACGAAAACGAAAAAGCGGTCTTTCGTAATGTTTAAAAAACCATGTTAGTTTCATCTAAAATTGTATACAAAGTACGTTGAGAGCTGAGTGTATTTCTATGCAGCTATTATTTTATTTTGTATTTCCTTTCTACCACGAATTAAGTGAATGGTTTACGGTGAATGGTCGACATTTGTCGATATACTCAAAAAGAAAACTAAATAGTTAAAAAATTGAGTAGATGTAGGTAAAAATCACTTGAATAAAGAACTTTCATTTCCTTTTCTTCGATGTGAAAGTAAACAACTCAATTTTTATTTTATTTCATAAGTTCACGTCCCTATCACGCGATGGACCCGGCACTCGCCCGGTGAATTCATGGAACGTTAAGAAATGAGTCTTTTAAGGGTGCCAAGTCTCACTACGCCCGTCTGTCTTTCCATTCGTCGGTTCGCGGCTTAGCTTACAGTCTTAGGGCTAGAAAGCTGCATATATTATGTTAATCGCACCGATAAAGTGTGATTGACATAGCGTTAACTTGTTTAGACTTAATATTTGTGTAACATGTGAGATTTTATTATTAAATTTCAAGCAAAGATATTGGTACATAAAGTTTACGTTTAATACTCGTATCCGTGTGGTGACGGATTAGGAATACGAAGAGTCACCAGTCACCACCCATGTTCATTCCGCGGGTGTGTAAGAACCGACTAAGGGAGCAAACTCTGCATAACAAAACCACTGCAAAGAGAAGGAAAACTTGAAACAAACCCTATACCAACACGTCTAGCCAGCGTGGTATAGTACGCCAAAAGCTCCTCTCTAAGGAGAGGCTTATGTCCAGCAGTGGACTATTAAAGGCTGTTGTATTTCATAAATGATCTCTGTTGTCATGATGATAAATCAGGTTTTCATAAATATACTGACTGATCGAATGACGAATCGAACGCTAATAAATCCGTTCTACTGCGGAATAGTAAATTTCACGATTTTCACAAAATACAGGAAATAACGACACTCATGAAGTCAGCACTTCCATTGTTATATTTAGCAAATGTAAGCCGGCTCTATCGTTACGATACAACTGAAGCCGGACTGAAACCAGTCAACTGTGCTTTAGGTATTGAATTTATGATAGGGCCTGATTAGGCATGGTGTCAAACCTGAAATAACATGGTCCGGGTGGTCCCCAGAGTAGGACACCTAAGGCCGGCCATCGGGGTGGTTTTTAGTTTAGGTATTGAATTTATACTAATATTATAAAGCTGAAGATTCTGTTTGTTCGGTTGAAAGCGCTAATCTCAGAAACTACTGGTTTGAGTAGAAAAAATCTCTAAGAGTTTGATAACTCATTTATCGAGGAAGGCTATAGACTATATAACATCATGATATTACCAATAGGAGCAGAGCATCAATGAAAAACGTTGCAAAAAAAGGGGCAAATTTATTCTTTTGACAGAAACAGACGAAGTTGCGCCGATCATCTAGTGTGTTCCTATCCTGATGAACGACTTACCATCGTAAGTCAATTTCAGAATTTGATATGACAATCTATATATATATAAATATACGAGTATATATGTTAAGTTGGTTTGTGTACTCTTAAAATACTCAAAAACTTCCGCTCATTTCATCTTCATCTTAAATTTTGAAACGATATGCAACCCGCTAGATTGTTTTTCTCAATTTTTTGGGTCGGTTTTCTTCCACATTTCTCATCAATACAAAATGTGCCACGGCAAAGCGTAGCTAGGGTACACCTAGTCATGATATAAAACAAAAGAATTTATTTAATTTGACTGCACGGATGGCGTAGTAGTCTAAGCGGTCACCTCGCCGCTTCCTACTGCGCTGGGTGTTGTAGGTTCCATCCCCACATGGGACAACACTTTGTGCGATCCACAAATTGTTCTTCTGTGTCTGGGTCCGTTTCATGAATGTTTGTAAAGTCCCCTGCAAAACAGGATTTATTCCTAGTGCAGGAGTTGTATGTAAAAAAATATATTGTATGTTTGCAGATACTCATAAGTGTTGGTTCTCGTACACCCCTTGAAATGTAACAAAAGATTAACAACACCGGTTTTCACTTCGGCAATATTATTCCAATTAACACATTATATTTATTTATCCTGCTTAACGTAACTTAAGTACCTAAGTATTCGTAGTAACTATTGTAGACGCCTAGACAGTGATAATGGCATAAATCGTCTGAAAGCTGTTAAATCGCACGGAAGCTCTCAAACTAGTACTCAACATCAAATTATTAGTATTACATACTAATATTTTGGAGTATTGCAGCAATAATTTAAAAACACAATAGAATTGTATCCACATTGCATTTATTGTGTCGAGAGTCTTTCTAATAATATTACGTATATAGAGGAAGTCTTTTTAGAATACTGGAATTCAGCAGGTAAACGTTGTCATGTCTGTGAGTGTAATGAACCTCATACTAGCCCTATCAAAGCATTCATTTTCTGTATGTACGTGATGTACGCGTAGAGTTCAAACCCACGCAACAGTGAAAAGATCAAAGATCATCTTTTACCAATCTATCTTCTGAACAAAATTACTTTTATTGATACATGGCTACACATTCCGTTTAGCAATGTCATTCCCTCATGTTTAATATGCCTTTCAATTTCGATTCATTTTTCATATTTCATTTGGAACAATTTTATTTTGTTTTATTATGTAAAGAAGCCTAATAAATCACCTCTGTATGCAATGTTTATAGAAAAATTATTTGCACATTTGAAAATTAATTGAATAGTTCATTAATATCACAGGTATTTTAATGAACTATTCAACTAATTTTATTAACTAGTGACCAGGTATTTCTTTTGCGGTGTTGCAAAAGTATAGTTTTTTTTTATTTAGCCACCATCCCCGACAGGCTGTTGTGAACGATTTACATCGACATGTTTAATGGAAAAAGAAAACTGATGCAACATGATCTTTTTGATCACATCAGCGAATGACTGAAGGAAGCATCGGTCCTCAAGCCTTAAGCAATCTTCAGTTTTAAGCACCGCATATGTAAGGACTGTTGTGCCTTGGAGTGGAGAAGGAATGCCCTTCTCCAAGGCACAATAGCTAAAAATATACAAGACAAGCTGGTGAACCAACATTTAAATCCAATGATTTAAATTATGGTTAGGAAGATTTTAAAATAGTGTAGATGTTTAAAGAGTCACCTTGATCAAAAATGTGTTACTTAATGAGTTTTTAGTTTCTATTCTTGTTGGCCCATCTAAAACTCTGTGTGTGCAAAACTTGTGTCAACGACATTACGGTCAGTTTTGGGTCAGCTATCGTTTTAGTCACGCGATTGTTAAAGGCTAGGCTAGGCTTGGATAACGCGTTATGGGGTGCTCGTTCTCGTTTCGTCCATGTGATAAGTGTTTCGCAGAATATCTGTTGTTTGAGGTTTACAGTTTAAGATTTTAATATTGAAAGGGTTTCACTACAAACTGCGGACTATGTGTCAACTTATTTAAATCCAGTAAAAGTTCCTTATTCTCAGGGAAAACGCTCCAGTGCCTTCCAAAATCCCAAAGTAAGATTTTAAGAGCGATTTTTAACAACACTTAATAATAAATATTTAAGTCTCGTTTTAAGGAACTCGGTCTTTTCTTTTGTATATTTAAAGCAAGTGGCGAACTCGAATGTTTTAGTATGTTGTTTAGCTACACGAGGAGCGTTTTTTTTTGCCGTTGGAACAGGAAGGTGAAAATGTGAATAAGGAAACCCGTTAATAAGCTGTTATTAGTACTTCCATGTGATTTTTTACCAAATATGATAACAGATCTATAACGGAAACAATTATTCATTGGCCTTAAAACAATAACCTCTCGAACACTCTCAAAGAACGTTTATTTAAGGATTATTATTTCACTCAAATCGTTTTAATATAAAAAAATATTTTGTGGCATAATGCCTCTTTTATTACAATTACAAATTACAAGACCTTGTATATTAGCTTATCACGACTTCCTAGAGCCTCTTTTTAATGAAGGCTATAAGGCCGTATATAATAATTAAGCCACGGCCTTAGAGTACGGTAAACCATCCTTCAGCATTAACGCATTTGAGATCGTGGTGTTTATACTGCTACAGCTATCAAATAATTATTTAGTAGTCCTTGTTTGTTATATTAACGAGCGGGTAATTGGATTAGAAACCAAATAATTTCAATTCTACCCACGTATTGCAAATACCTATTTGTAGCAAAGAGGCCGCTTTACGTCATAACCGGTCCGACAAGAATAACAATCAGTTTATCAAATAAAATGTAATAATATCTGAACTGCGCAATGAATAAACGAATATTTATTAATATTTCAACACTGATAAACTTTTGCGTGTTTCGTTTAAACCAATACAGATATTTCATTACAGTATTGCACGGATGGCATAGTGGTTTAAGCGGTCGCCACGCCGCTTACTGCTACACGTACGCTGAGTGATGTGGGTCCGATCCCCACATGGGACGACACTTTGTGTGATCCACAAATTGTTGTTCTGAGTCTGGGTGTTCTTTGTGTCCGTTTCATGTATGTTTGTAAAGGCCCTCGCGACACAGGACATATTCCTAATGCGGGAGTTGTCTATTTTTTGTAAAGAAAAAAGTACACGGCAAACGAAATACTTGGTCAGTTACCACTGATTAGGTATTTCGTTTAGTGCCTGTGATTTTAACGAACTATTACACAAATATATGACTGAAGAAACGTATTAGCGTAAACGTAAAGGTGTAGCGTGGTATAGTAGGCCAAAACCTCCTTTCTAAGGAGAGGCCTATGTCCAGCAGTGGACTATTAAAGGCTGTTGATGATGATATCACGCTGGCTAGACTGGTTGGTTTGTTGCCAGTTTGCCGTGTGTACATGACCTATTTCTTAGCGTTCCATGGATTCACCGTGCGGGTGCCGGGTCCATCGCGTGATAGATGGGGGCAACACATGCGACATCCACAGCGTCTGGGACTTGCGACCCAGGAATAGGTTTAGGGAGTACTCCTTGCAACGTGTCAGCGCCCACCTTTACTGTCTACTGATATATGTATTTATTTATTAAAACTTTATACAATTTTGTACAGCAGGGGACCTGTCCAGTCAACCTTTGGGTGATTAAGAAATCTTGTAAGGTATGCACAAATGTTACAACAATATACAACAATAATATACACCGTTCACTACATGCATAAACATGTATATACACACATATTATACATGTAGTCTTCAATCTATGGAGATGTCACGTAGGAACATAAGCGAACTGGGGCAACAATGAGTTACCGGTCTAGGTACAAAGTCGGCATAGGGTCATGCTATTTTCGTTTGCATTATTTAATGATAGTGTTTCTCTGCATATGGATCGTTTTTGTTTAAGGCCGAGTGTCTGCCCTCCTTCTTGGGAATATTGTGGTTTTCAGATGAAATAAAGGAAGAAGATAACTTATGGTAGAAAAAACTATAGAGCGAGGAAGCTGAGGTAAAGAATCTATGCTGCAAGTCTTAGATGGGACTGGGAGGAAATTGGACTAAGACTGAAGGAGCTCGAGAAACCCGAGCTCGCGTTCCTATCTGTCTGTAATTCGCTTGGAGATGCCAGTACAAGAATATAAACTTGTAAATGACTATAATGTTAAAAATTGAACAAATTTTAAACAAAACATTTGGAACCCCCCGACATCAGCATTAACCCAGGGTATAGTTGCAGCATCAGGTCAAAGTTACCATATCATAGAAATAACACTAAATTAACAGTACACCAAATTTCAAATCAATCGGAGTTTCGGACCATTGCGGCCACGTCCGCCTTTAAAGAAAAAACCGCATCATAATCGGTCCACTCTTTTAGGAGATACGATACCACAGACAGACACACAGACACTTAAAACTTATAACACCCCTCTTTTTGCGTTCGGGGTTAAAAACTAGCTTTTCAATAGAGTTCAATTATTGTTTAATACTGCATATAGCAATTAAATAGCAGCGGTAGCCTAGTGGTTAAGGCGTTGGACTTGCGATCAAGAGGTCGTGGGTTCAAATCCTGACCAGTACATTACCGACGCGAACCCGCTCCTAATACAAGCAATTTAGCTTAGCGGGAGTGGTTAACGGGAATACTAGTAATTTCGATTGCTAGTAGACCTTAAAAAAAATTAGGGTTTTGAATAATCGAATACCAGTAGTAGTTGCTCTAGTTAACATATTATATTATTACAAAGCATGGACCGTGTCATGTCTGGCATTGCTTGTAAGAGCAACCGCAGATATAAAAGCTTCTGTCATTGTCAGATGTTTAGATGTATTGTGAAGTTTACGGTATTAAATATCTCGTTTTCTAGGTATTTTTAAAGTTATTGTAAACGCCGAATACAATAGCTTTACGTCACACTTCGTTTTAACATGTATTTATAATACTTACTTACAGAACGTGGCGCAGCACCTGTTGCCGAAATATCGAGGATAAATTTGAATAAAAGGCTTTATAAATCTTTAGGGAGACGAGGCCCAGGGCTCGTGGCGTGTGGCCTTTTGATTATATGTTTTTCGTATTGCAAATGTAAAATGTACAATTGTTACTTCGTTTGAAATGTAAATACACCTGCCACACACAACTCTGCATTACTAAGTGTAATCACATCACATCAACAGCCTTTAATAGTCCACTGCTGGACATAGGCCTCTCCTTAGAAAGGAGGTTTAATAAAAAATAATAATAAGAGAGACAATAAACCGACTTATACTCTTAATAATTTAGTACCTGGATGACCGCTTTGCTCGGTATTTTATTTTTTTGGTAAATTTTCTAAAAATGAAACCTAGCTAGATCGATTAATAGCCCCCGAAAGCCCTTGCATATTAAATTTCATGAAATCGTTGGAGCCGTTTCAGAGTTTCAGATTATATATATATATACATATATATACAAGAATTGCTCGTTTAAAGGTATTAGATACATTAATACCTATTTAGTAAATGTTAAAAATATTAATACCATTTACTGCCAACACAGTAAAAAGTTTGAATGTACATGTTCAAAAAAATGATCAAAAGAATATGGATCAAACGTATCTAACTCCATTCTACAAAGATAGACACGCTTTTAATACCACTGCCCTGTATCGATCTAGGTCTACCGCTAATTAATGTAGGTCTTCATTACAATAATACCCAGCACCGTTCCTAGCGGCTGCGAATTTATTATATAGTTCATTGACCGATTGGTTCAGGAGTTACCTCTGTCGTTTGACCTAAAAACGGTTGTGTGCATCGATTTTTGCAAATCCGGACACGTCACTCGATGAGATAATCTTGGTTACAGCTGATATTATGTAAGAGGTAATATTTTTTATTATTCAAGATGGAAAATGAGGCTAAGCGGTCACACGTGTCCGTAAATACTTAACACAAGGCGCAACACCGGCGAATCCTTTTATTTAGCTTTTATCATTCTATAGCACAATTCTCTCACTCACACTGCCTTTGAACTTGGAGCATTTAGAGTCTTATAGTAATAGAACCATGGACTTCATGGTATGTAAGGACATGTTTATTATTTTTAAATATTTTTCAACTTTCTTCCTTTTCAAAATTTTGCTTTTTCGCTTAAAAAGTAAAATGTAGGTCAATCATACAAGAAACTGTAAAAAAAATCTCGTTTAGTGTTTAGTTATCATGACTGCTGATGGTCGTGGGTTCGATTCCTATCTAGGATAAATATATATGTAATGAGTACAATCATTTGTTTTTTGACTGGGTGTAATTTATCTATGTTCGTATTTAGTTATGTACGTAATTGAAAAGTACGGAAACAGCAGAATAATTCGCTAGGGATGCATTTTTCGGAAATAAGTTAAACACAAAAGTTACAGGAATTTTCCCTGGCTTTCCATTGGTAACCTTCAAGTTGACCTTGATCACAACCTTGAACGTTATCTCAAGGGTCAAGAGCAACTTTCAAATGGGATTGCATATTTTTGAGCCCGGAATTGAAAAGAGATGAAAAAAATTACAATTGGATATGACCTAAGTTCGCAAATTTTGACCTGTAAAGGTCACCAATCCAAGGTCAAACTCACACGTTTAATTTTCTATTACCCTGTATATGTTTTTCAAACTCTTGTTAAACCATAGTACTGGCGTGTGGCGGGTGTCAATATAGTACTCTTTATCTATTTTGCTCAGCCTGCAAATTAAGATCTAATCTCTTGATTTCTGTACAGATTTATTAAAATGATTGACAAAACAAAAACTTTACATTGGTGAACGAAAATAAAAAAAGAATTGAACTTTCGCTTTCGTCATTTTAGAAATGCATTATATTGTACAACTGACTATGTGTTATTAGGCAAATATTAACAACAGATTTGGATGAAATTCGACACATTGATAGATTATGGTTTGGAAGAGCATAAAAGCCACATTTTTCAATAAAAATAAAATACATATATTAAAAAATATTCTCAACTTTCTATTTTTATACACAGAATCCATATTGCATAATGCATGGCTCCCGGTAAATGAACTAGGTCGTCGGGGTTGACGACATCCCTCATCCCTCGGTAAAGTTCGTGAACTTTAATGTTGTTGAAAGGTATGCGCTTGTTAAGTGGCACAGAGAATTTTAAATTTATTACTTTTGCATATTTAAATGCGACATGGCAAGTCACAGAAATTTGGTAAATATTAGTTATTTATTTTATTTGTACTTAGTTAATTAAACTAGGTGAAAATGCCTTAAAATACGATTTAATATAAGTTCTTGCCAAGTTAAGGAGACTTCACGCAAAAGCATGGTTTGCGCTGGTTCTAAAAGATAATAAACAATGGTTTAGCAAAACATTCTTGTTGTTTTTTTTTATGGTATAAAGCACACGATCAGACGGGTCACCTGATGGTAAGCAACTACCTGCCGCCCTTGGAGTCTCTACCGCTCGAGTCAGCAGGATGGGGGATGGGCTCCGGAAACCTCACTCGCTCAGTGTTATTTTAAAATGTTTTTATTTTATTAATCTACTTTACAGATAGGTACTAAAATTTTGCTTAAATTATACATTGCATACGTAAAGCGTAAACTTGCTTATTATATCATAGAATATGAATTAATATAATTTTTTATTAAATAATACACTGCTAAAAGAGTGAAAGCAAGCTATGTATTAGCATTGACGAATAAAGGAAAAATTATGATTTTGGAATATGTTGTATAAATAATTAATAAGTTGTGTAAATGGTGTAGATTTTTAAATACATAGTGTAGTTTTAATTAGTAAATAAAGAATTTTCAACAAATATTAACCCCACTTTTTAAAGATAAATATATTGTATGGAGATCGATACAAAACGTGCGTCAAAACTGCTTTACTCTCAGAGTCTAGTTTTTGTTTAAATTTTCACTGCCAATAAGATTTTGTCGAGGTTCAACCGTATTTTTGAAATATTTTCAACTGAATTATTATCTATTTAGGCACTATGAACGCCGGACGGTCACTATGCGCTACAACACAAGTCACTGTCTTAACACTATCAATGGTTATTAATTAAGAAGACACAGACAACAAGAAGTAATAAATTAACGCAACAATAAAAACATTAACCGATACCAACACCAACAAGACGCTATAACCAAGTTGACAATGACACTGACATTCCATAACTCCTAGCCGGAACGACTCGTGGTTTGAGTTTCTAAAATACGCAACAAAATAATATGATTTGAATAGAAGTTCTTTTAATTATTTTTCTACAAACGAATTATAGGCAGATTGGATACTGCCTCTATCACACCGATCGTCTTCAATGGTTTAATTATTCCAGACTGCCCTGTAGTCAAAGACCTGGGCTTACTCATCGACTCAACCCTCGACTGGCGAGCTCAAGTTACTAACGTGAGGCAGAAAGTAACTGGTAATTTGCGAACATTTTATCGTCTCAAGAATTTCCTGCCTCCTAAAACTAAAACAACACTCATGCAGTCCTTAATAATTCCAATAATTAACTATAGGGATGTGTGTTATTTCGACCTAAAGGCAGACCTTCTTATTAAGATAGACCGTCTTCTCAATAACTGCATTCGATACATCTTCAATCTTCGGAAGTATGAACAGTTTACCTATCCAATTGCGCCGCAAACAGCGTGCACTTACCTCCCTATTTTCATTTCTCAACTCACCGTCCTCACCTTCTTACTTACTTCCGTTACCTGTCTACTAATCACGACAAAAATCTTCGCTCAGTTAATAATCTGCTTCTCTTATTTTGGGAGGGATCCCACAACTCCGACTTCGTGAACTGTTTGTTCTTTGTTCAAGCAGTACTACTCTGGAATGCGCTCGCGCTCGAAGTCAGAATGTCCACAAACAGCTTTATATTCAAAAATAAGGTACATGATCTCCTTCTTGCTGAAATGGCAGAACTATCTATTCCATAGTTTACCTCATATTCCGGTATTCATAGCGTCACATCATCATCTCACATCTACAGCCTTTAATAGTCATAGGCCTTTCCTTAAAAAGGGGGTTTTGGCCTACTATACCAGGCTGGCCAGACGGGTTGGTATCGGGTTTGGGTCAAGTTTTCCTTCTCTTTGCAGTGCTGTTGTCCTGCGTTGTTTACTCCCTTAGTCGGCTCTTACGACACCCACGGGATAAATAGGGGTGGTGACACTCCGTATTCTTAATCCGTCACCACACGCATAATTTATTCATAGTGTACGAATATTATATGTCAATGTAAATATATTTGTATGTATATGTATGTGTATTTATGATGTGCGTATATGTTTATGTGTGTAGGGACCGTATATATTTTCATTGTTCACTTAATATAACGACGTAACCTCTGTGCTCCTTACAAGATTTTATACACCACCCAAAGGTTGACTGGAAGAGAATGCCCTGGGCATTATGTGTGCCGATGTACAAAAGTGCATGAAGTTAATTAAATAAACAAATAAAATAATCTTGTTTATCCAGGCAGCAGATAAAGATGTATTTTAGTTATATCTATTGTAGGTTTATCTTTTATTTACCAAACCATGAACCATGACAAATTTCATATTTTATTTTTGCACCTCATCATCATCATCATCAACAGCCTATACTAGTCCACTGCTGGACATAGGCCTCTCCTTAGAAAGGAGGTTTGTTTTTTGTTTTTGCACCTATCGCATAATATTTCTAAATCGCCTATCATGAAGGTCGACTGAGAGAGAATGGCTCCTTAAGTTTATATAAATAAAATTAACTAAATTAACAAGCTTTTTGGTCATTGTCAGTTTATGAAAATAACTGGCAAGTATTACGGAACGAAAAAGTTATCGAAAATTAATTTTTGTTCGAGGGATCTGCCATTTTTTTGCGTCAGTATGTTAATATCCTTTCTTGATATTTTGGTAATGCGGTTAAAAAGAGACTTAAAATCAGTACATTATACACATAAATAAAACATAATTTTTGGTGTTAACGTACCTGTGACACAACATGATACGGGATATGGGCATTCTTCTTTAACATTCTTATTTCTTTTTTTAACCCTTACTGAGACAAATTTGAAAATGGAAGCATACAAAACTTGGTCCACGGTAGCCCACTCATTTATATAATAACAACATAATAATATTATACTAAGGGATAATCTTTTTTTTTTTATCTTGCACCATGTCTACGTATGAAAGAGTTGTTTTGCTGTGGTCATGTCGCGGTTGTTTCATATATTCCTCAGCTAGTTGAAAGTAAGATATTTAAGAAGATTATACCTAGGAGTACACGTGTAGGTTGCTGTACTTTCAGAGCGGTTAACAATCGTCCTGATACAATTGATTAGTTCAAAGTTCCTCACAAAAATCAGTCTAATTTCGTCGTGCAGTAGAAACTAAAAGAGATATTTTCTACAAAAATATTAACCTTGCTAAATTAGCAGCGCGACTGTTTTTTTTTTCATCTTCTATACTTATGACAAATCCTCTATTCCATTTTAAAATATGTTTGCCATGCAATAACCGTTTAACTACTTTCTCAGTATACAATATAAGGGGCAAGACTCAGCTGAAAAGAGAGAGCAAATTGATTTGAAATGAAATTAATTTCTAAACATCACTAACCTGGGTCCCGCTTGCGGCGTGTGCGCAGGCTCGTCGTCCGCATCGTAGAAGTCGTCCTCTCCTTCGGAAGACGAATATGACGTGTCCGGAACAAGTAAAGACATTGCTCCTGTAGGAGTAAAAATGTAAATAAGCATAGTGACAGCAATAATGTTGAAAGCTGCACTCAAAAGCAATTACTGTCTACTATAAGTTTTCTAAGCGTTGATCGCCTGGAGTAGTCTATAGAGAGGAGGTATAGGGTATAAAGGAGATTGCGGAGCGGGACCGGGAGAGGTTGAGAACCTTACCGGTCCGGCAGGCCTGGGGGTGGTAGGTGAGACCATCTGTCACCCTAGCATAAGCAGGCCGGGGTAGTGGCGAGACGCGCTGCGGCGCACAAAGGGGACATAGGGGTTCCCACACAGGAGGGGATCATCTACATGCCGTAGATGACCCGAAGTACATCGGGGTATCAGGGATTTCCTTCCTAGGGTACACCTGGTTCCCCGGCGGCTGGTACCCGAGACGAAGTACGGGTTTTATAACCGTGGGTGGTATCCGAGGGGATTTCCGCACAGAAAAAAAAGGTCCTGTAGCCATCAGTGTGCGTCGCTTAAAATTAGTACACTCAGCGCATGTGTTGTGCACTTGTGTCTCAAAATCGCAAATTGGTATATTTTCGTAGTATTAAGAAGAAAAGGATGAAATTTTGTATTTTATCGTGTTAAAGATTAAATAATTTATCAAAATAGTTCTAGAAAAATATCTTAGTGTTATTTGAAATATAGTTACATCTGTTCGTCACTAGATGACTTTTTTTATGTTAGAGGGGGCAGACGGATTACCTTATGGAAAGTGACCACCCCCGCCCATGAACGTCTGCAGCTCAGAAGACACAAAAGCGTTGCCGGCCTTTTAGGAAGGAGTGCGCTCTTTTCTTCAAGGTTTGAAAGTCGTATCGGTCCGGAAATACCGCAGACGATGATAACCCGTTCTATAGATTGGGATTGGTGAAAAATGTCTCGAAAAGCGCACAGTAGTGCAGCGCCAACTATCCAGGTGATGAGGAAGAAAATTTTGCCGTGTGGAACTATGGCGGAAAGTTGGGGCTGCTATTAGTGCGAACAATTCCTAGGAGCACTCTCCATGATTTATGCCATAGAGAATGCAGAGTGAAGCCACATCTCTACGTAACGCCAAGGAAACTAAAAATACAAAGGTACGTAGAGCTTAGCTTTAGTGAAATAATACTCAAATCTGTTGTATCTTAATCGCCAAAATAATATTAAACATTTTGTTTTAAATTATTTTGTGAACGACTGTCATCTAGCGTCAACTAGAAAAACGTACATAAACAGAACAAAAAGTCAGGCCCGATATTGGATTCCAATTTAAATTTAAAAAAGTACTCTTAAATTATAAATGACATTCTAATTGCAAAAAAACATTTATTAAAATTTGAATGTATTTAGCATTTCGGAAAATTCAACCTAAGAAATGGTCATTTGTGCGTACCTCATAAAATAGTCTCCTTGAAAGTAAATACTCTATGTACAATATTCAAAATAGACATCTACTGTAAGAGTTGTAGCTTAGTTTTTTGAGAGTTATTTTAAGCTTTAGTTATTGTATCGTTTAATAATTAATTGTTTTTTCTTAGATTGGCGTTCAAAAGTGCATTCTGATGATTAATTTGAAATAAAATATATTTTTTTTACTATAAAATTACGTTCATTATAATAATTTATGAATTATTTATTTTGTGGAGCTTAACCCTCACCCCGCAAATTGTAACGCATTCTTTCATAGGGTAATATAATTACAACACATACTCTTTGTATTTGCTCTGTGACTGGAATTCAATAGGGCAGTGACAAGGCTGGCGACATCGTGCGCAAACACCAGAAAAGCCGACAAGACCACATCACATGCGCAACGCACCCAAAAAATCACCACACCGAATCGGGAGAGCCGCTTGACTCCACTGGGTCCCATTTAGAAAGACATTGGTGACGCACGGACGGAGGGAATAAATAAACAAAATTAACAGGACAGTAATTTTGTCTCAACTTACTGGGTGCATCTAAATCTTCTAATGGTGGCAGAGGATGTGTCGGCGTGCTGAGCTCGCGACACTCCGCGCCCATCTCCACATGTGGTGACAGTTCTGGGTCTGTTTGAAAATAATAATCAGTTTATTGGTCCCTGTATCTTGTTGACTTTCCAACATATAGGATGGACATATGGGTAGGCTTGTGCGAAAGTTGCGTTACCCCCCTTCGAAGAGTTGCGTATACCTTACCCCGATAATTTGCCTTTTTCCTATTTCCCATCCAATAATAATACCCATAGCATAACAAGGGTAAAATTTATTTTGACATTAAATATGGGGTCTACTAATAAGGACGTCCTGGTTTAAAAATTGAATAAAACGCAATTTTTTTTATGAAAAGTGAAGCCGATTGATTTATTTGATAGATAATTTTATGCAATTTATGTTTTAAATAATATATCGGCTAAATGACCGCCGCGGCTCTTTTTGCAGACGGTCACCCGCTCACGCCAATTTTCGATGACGCGGTGCACCATTTCGGCCGTTATGTCGGCTATGGCTCGTCGAATGTTGTTTTTTAAGTCACGAAGCTGGATTATTGCTGTACACTTTAGATTTAACGTAACCCCAAAGAAAATAGTCTAAAGGTGTTAAATCACACGATCTTGGTGGCCAACTGATCGGGCCATTTCTCGAAATTAACGACTCACCAAACTTTCCACGCAATAATTCCATGTTCACTCGAGGTGAGGTGGTGCAACGTCTTGTTCAAAATAAAGGTCGTCTGCATCAATATCATTAAATTCCGGAAAGAAATATTCGGTTAACATCGAGTTATAGCGCTCGCCATTCACAGTAACAGGGTTTCCTTCGTCACTTTCAAAAAATTTTTGGACAATTTCCAAGCGTTAGTTCAAAGTGAAACGTGACATGATAAAATGGAAAACCTTACTGAACACAAATGTCAAGAGACGTCAAAGTTCCATCATCAAACATGGCCGCTATGAGCTGTCAAAACCAGGTCATCCCTATTGGTAGACCCAGTACTAAGCCGACTAAAAAAATATTTCTAGTAGAATTTACAGGTCTATCTCGATTTTTTATTATGAGAATTTTCCTACCTTGTTTGATAAGCGCTTGTGAAGAAATGGTAGGGCCCTGGTATATACCATTGACAGGATTGACGGTATTCTGTAACAAAAACCACACATTAAATAAACACGAACTATTTTATTATGATTGATGGGTTATGCTGTTTGAACTATAACTATAGACGTCAGTAAAGTAAGTCAGTAAATAAAATATCATTCTGATTTCTGGCACCTTTATACACACACAAATGAGCAGATCTGTCAGTGGTGATACCTGCAATTCAAGAGTCAAGAAGAGGGTGTTTTGTGCTCCGGTAACTTTACTTTGTGAAAGCTACGAAAGAATAGCTTAAGAGCGATTTTTTTAAAAGCCGTGGTATCGCTCCGGCCCATTTGTGCCGAAGCATGGTCTTTGTGGTGACGGATTAAAAATACAGAGTGCCACTACCCCCCTATTCATCCCGTGGGTGTGTCGTACGAGCCGACTAAGGGAGTAATCTACGCAGGACAACGGCACTGCAAAGAGAAGGAAAACTTGAAACAAACCCTATACTAACCCGTCTGCACGGTACAATTATAATACAGTAGTGTAACTCGGCCGTATGATAGAAATAAATGCCTACAGCCGCGCGGTACGTAAACATGCGTTAGGGCTGCCCGTCTCCAGCATTTTTATTATATTTGCCGTCTTTCTGTTTCTATTTAGATTTGTGATTGTAAATATCCTTTTTATATAAATAAATGAAATACTTTGTATATTGAATAGGAAGTGTCCAATAAAAATGCGTGTTATTTTTTGATTGGTAGATTTAATTTAAAAAACATGTTTTTGTTTGAAAAACAAATCGGGCTTATAAATTTGCGACCGAAAAAAAATCCTTCTATAAAATAAAATAAATGTGCTTTCTCCTTACGCGTTACAAAACTCCAATCCTTAGAAACTCCAACACCTACTTACTCAACTAGAATGCAAGAAACAGCTGACGAGTAAGTAACTTTTTATCTCAGCTTATTAACGTCTCTATAAATTAGGTACCTACCTACAACTCGCAACAACTCAAAACAAAAATTCTTTGGTCACCAATAAATTAATTATTAAAAAGCTGAACAGCTGACTACGAATGTTTTAAAATCACAACCTAGCTCTAGCTGTTGTTGTAAATACCGAGAAAATAAAACCAGTTTTTAGTGGTATATGTTGTTATAGTAGCAGCAGAAACACTTTGTGAAAATTTCGAAAACTGTCTAATGACACACAGACGGTAAATTTTTTTTTTTTGTATTATTCATACACACAGATAATAAACAAATATTATTAATAATAAAATACCACGTCTTTACTTTGAATTATGCAAAGTAACAAAACACACATGCACCGAAGTTTTAACACAAACGTAAGTAGGTAGGTACCTACCATATCATGATTCATTCAGAACCGCATATAACTCCCTATTTCACTCGTCTCAATAACTTTCCGTTACTCTATTTGCTTTATTTATTCATCCAAACACCTTTTTTTTCGTGAGATAAAAGGAAATACTTATCCATTAAAAAGACACACATTATGTACCTACCTACTAGTAAGTAAAATTGTTTTATAGTCTTACCTTTCAGAGTTTCCAGGTAATTTAAAAAAACTTATGTCTGGATGCGTTATTGACGAATTCATACAACCAAAAACAGCACAATATTTCCTACTCGTCATATTACCTGATTTTTAGAGAAAAAATCGCGCGGTTATTGTTAAAAAAACAACACACCGTCCGTTCGACACTGCGGTACAGCCGTGACTGTCTGCGCCCCGAGCGCACCCCGAGATCGAGGCGCGTAGGTATAGCTCGCATTTCGTCCGTTTGTATGAAGTTGGAGTACTGTATTATAATAGTACCGTGCCGTCTGGCTTAAGCCCGTCTGGCCAAAACCTTCTTTCTAAAGAGAAGCCAATGTCCAGCAGTGGACTATTGAAGGCTGTTTTATAATGATGATGATGGTTCTTTCATCACACCTAACAGAAGATAAGAAACAGCACTGCTTATTTTAATATTATTGTGTTGATAGTCCGTTATTTCTCCTACTTACATAAACTTTGTTTTCTAAGGTATATAAGTTTATATGGTACTCGAATTAACATATTGTGGATGGCGAACCACTGAATAAGAATCGTTCAGCTTGACGGTAAATAGTTCCTTCTATACAATTCTTACAGTAAATACGACCTGAGTTTTCTCTCACTAGGAAACTGTTGATACTATCGTATAGGCTATTCACATTATAATGCTAACTAAAACTGACTGTACGGTACATCTGCTAACGTTCTTCACCACAACTTGCATGGCAAGATGTTGGTTTATAAATACCACGGGGCGTTCTAACAACTTTAAATGATATTAATTTTATTATGTATCTAGTTTATTTATCTACATACTTCAAGTCTAATAAACATTTAACTGATGTAGGTACCTAATACATGAAACATAATTATAATCAGAAAATATCTGTGGGTATTAATAAAAATAAAAATGATTAAATATTTATTTTCGCATGGTTTTAAAATAGGTAATACACAATACTTTCAAGTAACTCGTTTTCGAAGATTTTCTTTCTGTAAGAAAGAAAACCTTTAAAAAATATTTTTTTAATAACGGACGATTTGCCTGAGCTGGTGCTCAGTAAGGGCAACTCGTCCATTATAAAATAAATTTTAATTCCATTGTGAAACACAGTTGAACAAATTCATTGCAGAAATACAGAATATGCCTACGAGTTTTTTTTTTGCTCTTTATTATACATTTATAAAAAGCCGTCGTGGGACACCCGATAGGAACGAAGTTGTGACGATCGAGTAAAACTGATTTGACACGATTTTAATTACAACGCCATCTATGAAAGCGGCTATTACCTACATATTAAAAACAATTAAAACAATTTATACATTGGTAAAATCTCCTTGCGAAATGATTTCCTATCTATTCGATAGATGGCGCTGAATGTCTGACAAGATGACACGAAAATAAAGAGCAAAAAGCCAACATCACGTGGTATTCCCAGGCGGTCACCCATCCAAGTACTAACCACGCCCGATGTTGCTTAACTTCGGTGATCGGACGAGAACCGGTGTATTCAACATGGTATGGACGTTGGCGAACGTTAAAGCAAATTTAATGTATGGTATCCACAGTTAGACGTCAATTTATATTAAAAGTGTCGTTCCAAATTTTCGTACGAATTTTTTCCGTCTAGCCCCATTTCACAACGCGCGATAAGGAACTTCGTTCCAATACATATTTTTCATGCTTAAAGTCTGCCAAAATGTAAAAACAGTTTGTCGGCAGTCTTCGTCTCGTCGTTTATTTTGTATTTTGTTACATTTATAATGTGAAAGACATTTTCAGTACCTAAAGATAACTAACTAATACGACTATGTCTACAAGGTCAAAAGATATTACAAACTCGCCCCTAAATCTACGTCAAGATTAACTTAACTAAATTAGTGACTGAAACTTGACACAGGTACCTTGCTAGCTGAAGAAGGTAGGTTACATTGTTTTAAGCCCCGGCGGAAAAAGTGGGGCGACATTGACAAGTCACGCAAGCTAAGCCGCGAGCGGGAGCCCGGCCGAGGGCAACGGCACTAGGAAATTATAAACCCACACATCACATTTTATTATTTCTCTTCGTTTATTAATTTTAGTTAGGCTGTATCTTTTAGTTATTTTAATAACTGTTTTTTTGATGGTTTGTTTTTAATTCAGCTAAGCGTGTGCCAGTACACACGCACCTTAGTGCGTAAGAACTTTCCGTAATTGAAACAACTTAATTTAACTAACTGTTACTGGAAATGTATACAGTTTTCTTGTACTGACAGACAGAAAAATGATAGCTATCTGAATTACGATAAGTAAGGGGGTCCGATCAATAAAGATGATTATCGAGAAAACCCCCCCGTGACATCTGAATTCGTAATTTGTCTTTACCAGTAGAGCAGGGTGCGGCTTGCTTTATACTAGAAACCCTCATGCAGGTGTCTGAGATTAGCGGAACTCAGGTACAGTACTAAAGGTACTCTAGAAAAATACGATGAGGGAGATGGATTTTCTGTCTTTGCCGTGCACAGCCTGCACTCCATTAAAAGCCAGTGAAAAAAATTATAATGATTTTTGTGAAAATATTTTACATCTACTTAAAATGCACTGTGCTGGCTCTTATTCTGATATCGGAGTTGGCATGTAGCACTTCGACTTCGACATCGTAAGGTCGTCGTGCCCTCGGCAGAGATCACGAGGGGGTTTTCACGCGTAGCAAAACAATTGACATCGGTGAAAATTTTATAAAAAGTTGTTTGATATAGCATCTAAAATGTATAACCAAATTGACAGTTTCCTAAAGAAATCAGAAATTATATACTTTATGTGAGAGTAGAGGCAGAGGTAATTCACCAAAAAAAAAAACTATACCAAAGTAATATGCCTCATAGGCATGACGTATTGTATGAAATCGATTTATGAACTGATTATACCATCTCGATTCATAATAAATAAATTAAATCGAGTGAGGCATCTTTCTTTGTTTCGTTTTGTTTTATGGTTTGTTTTCTCTATGTAGTGTACTAACACTAGTCTCTAAGAATATTGTTACTAACAAATTGGACACCATGGTCTGCAATAAAGTTTATTTTTATTATTATTGATTTATTTATTTAGAATCGAGTTACTAATTTTCTTTTTGGAAGCGACATTTCATAAGCCATCACGAAGTAACTTGTATATAAACAGTAATGCTAAGTAGGCATTAAGTAACTAGTACTTTGCCTTGCCTTAACTCTCGTATCGACAGTTGTATAAACCACTTAGTAAATTAGTCATAAAACTTAGTAAGCTTTATAACTTTGTTGTTTCAGTGATACGTGCCTAAATTGGTGGCTGCGATATATAACAATAAAATTAATATGGTAATATTACCTTGGCTATTTGGAGCAGTACTATGGAATGTTTTATGTTGTCCAACATGGCCTGAAAATAGAAAACACAGTTAAAAATATAATCATTAGTCAAAATTACTTATTTTATAGTACTATTATGATTAAGATGACTTATGATATTGTGGAGCAACGGGTGTTTTAATAGGTGTCATCATCATCAGTAGTGACTGTTGTGGTGAGTGACTGGGAACACCGGGGTGGTTTTTAGTCGTTAAGAGTCCGACAGACCCCTTCGCCATCCCCAGATGGACATCCATAAAGATTTTACACCATTTTTTTTAACAAAAAAAAAGAACTTGTCTTTTATTTATTTATTTATTTATGGTTTGCTTCCAGTCGTAACATTGTTACTTAATAATAATAAATTACATGTGGTAGAATTGGCTAATGTACAACCAATTTAAGCAAACACAACATGCATAGTGTTAATAAATGAAAACAGGAAACATTAAAATCCGAAAGCATACGAGCGGGAATCAAAGCGACCTCGCAACAGGCACCACCTCAAATCATACAAACAAGGTTGTTGGCATTATCCGAGGGCACCACACACACCGGACCGCCCGGCACTCCGACAGAGACAGAGGCATGCAACACCAACTACGCGATCGCGCTAACTCCCGCCCTTAGACCTAGTTATATATGTATATCATCTTGGCGCGCGAAACTATAAAAATTCAACGGTACTAACATATACAAAAGAAGAATGTTTCAGTTCAATGTTAGATTAATTGTCAATTACGGAGTTAATACATTTTCGGAAATGACACAAGGAATCATTGAATATATCCAACGAGCCGCTGTATTCATTAGCAAGCCTAGTTAGACGACAAATTGGAGAATTTGATCCTAAAACAGTTCTTCGTAGGGGTGGGCAGAAAGGAGTGATTCTTGAACGTGGATATCTCGTTGGAACTCGTAGTTTAATTTTACTAAGAAGCATTGGGCAGTCAATTTTATTCGTTACAATTTTGTAAAAGAATATAAGGTCTAGTACTTTCCTACGCTTTTCGAGTGAGTCAATACCGAAATGCTTCAATTTAAAACGATATGAAGACTTCTTCAGTGTATTTTGCATGCCAGATGTATTTATTAGATGCCACATAAAACGCTTTTGTATTGTCTTCAATATCTAATAATATTATTTATAGTTATCTATATTAATCTGTTACATTTTATTTGTTATTTTTGCTATGTGTGATGTACATACAGTGTAGCATAGGTTATTTAATTAATTAACGAGTGCGTCTGGCCGTCAAACATTTGGCGAGTAATAAAATTTAAGTCCTAGTATTAAATAAAAAAAAAACAATAAAGAGTTTTAAAGTGTTTGAAACGAGTCCGTTAGGGAAAGTTCGATCCGCGTCGCTTACCTTTTTCTGTGTAGAAATGTTAATATGTAATTTGTCGTTGCGAATTGAATGCACTCCGTACTTAATTACTCCGCTTTGATCCTTTGAACTGAACGAGTTCATTTTAACTCTCTCTGCTCGAGCGGTATTTGCCGCAGTTGCGTGTGTATATGCGTATAACTATGCAGTTTACTCTTGCGTGTTAAACGGAGTCCTTAACGGGTCCGTTCGATCAGTTTGCGGTGGAATTCGGGCTACACAGTCAGAACTCTTAACTAGAGATGCCACAAAAATTCGTCAACTATTCGGTAATCGGCCTATTCGGCCATTTTATTCACTATTCGGTCGAATATTCCGAACTATTCGGCCAAACAACGAATCATATTAATACTTAAAACTTTTTTCAGCATTTTTTGATAGGAAACGATCGCGTTTTTACTCACAAATTATATTTGCTTCGGCAAATAGCTGCGCTAACTGTATATACAGCTTCCAAGAGATGATAAATAAATCTCAGCAAATTCTCTTAGGTTAGGATATTTTTCTGCGTTTGCTGACAAATTTACTGGCTAAGGTTTAAATATTCGTCTGCCGAATATTCGGCGCTTCGGCCAAGAGACTAGCCGAATATTCGTTATTCGGTATTCGGCCAAATCACTATTCGTGGCATCTCCACTCTCACTGGTTCAAAAGTATTTTCAACCGGCCCTGAGCAATAGTACTTTTGGCTGCTGCGTCAGATACTATCTATTGTTAGTGAATCATTTCGGTTAGCTGAGGTTAACAGTAGCGGTCAAAAGTACTTTTGACTAGTGAAGACTTTACACTGTAAATGATTTTTTTTTTATCTTGTATGTAATACTAGCTGACCCTGAAAACGTTGGTTTGCTATTTACATTATTTAATTATTTTTCTTTTGAATATCTTAAAATCCGTTCTTAGCTGACCTCTACTCGGTGAAAAGAATATTCCTACCAAATTTCAAGTCTTTAGCTCTAATGGTTTCAGAGATATCGTGATGAGTGACTATATACGTGGAAATCTCTTATATATATATATAGATGTACCATAAGGCAAATCTATACCAAACTAGTTATACTCTGCCGCGCTTCGCTGTAGCACATTGTGGTTGCATTAATGAGAAATCAGTAACGAAACTAACGCGAAAAGATAGATAAAATGAATCTTTGAAGCAGTTTGTAAATCATGTCAAAATTTTAGCACAATCGGTAGGGAACTTTTTGAGTTTTTAAAGGTATAAACCAACCAATATTTGTAAGTTTAGTCGTTCGCTTTGATGATTCCCGAGAAAAAAATGTTCTGTGTCAAATAATGTAATGTAATCTTAATCCTTACAGCTTGTTTTATATTGGTGTGATTTAGGCGGGGACTCCACCAAAGCGGAGATGTATGCGGTGTGCTGTGTGCTGTGCGAGAAGAGATGTTTTTCAGCTCGGGTGAATCCACCGAAGCTGTGCGGAAATGCGTAGTGTAGCAGAGATGTGTGCTGGCTAGCCTTGCGAGTGTGCGAGGCATTGAGTGTTCAGTACGCGAGATTGCCCGCCGGCCTGCGCGGGACTTTGCGGGTTGCTGGTGGGCGGGAGGGGGGAGGGTGACATCGATCACTGCACGCCGCTCACATCTCTCGTCTCCGCCGTGCGTCGTCCGCGCACAGCTCACATCTCCGCTTCCATCGCGCCATACAAATATTACATATCTCCGCACAGCGATCTCCACTGAAGCTGAGCGGAGAGGAGATATCTCAATAACGCAATTCTATTGGTTGTTTAAAAAACATCTCCTCTCCGCTCGTCTCGTCTCCGCTTTGGTGGAGTCCCGGCCTTAGTATATTGCCTTTTGGATCTATCAATTTCAGATAGCAACAGAGTTAACAAAATAAGAAGAAGGAGACAGCACTACAAACGAAGTAAAAGGAAACGAGTACAAAAATAGATACATTAAGATATATATATATATATATATATATATATATATATATATATATATATATATATATATATATATATATATATATATATGCAACGAGTCTTTTTTAAATTACGAGCTTTTAAAATCTGTGATTTGTTACAGAGACGTCGAAGCTGAGTAATGTGATTTCTTTGCCACCCTCTTTTAAATATAAAAAAGTACAAGCTACGGAGTATATTTACTACTAATTATATCATTAGCTGTGCTCCTCGACAGACTAAAAACTATCTCTGTGCTGAATTTCATCCAGATCTATTCAGCTGTTTTTTGGGTGAAAGAGTAACAAACGTCCATAGATTTATAATATTAGTAAGATTAATAAAAATCTACTTGTGACTAATGAAAATGATGAATAAAATTTCCATACTTACATTGGAATGCTCTAAGATAAGTTGTCCTTTACTCTTTTCCAGAGGATCAGCTAACTCTGATACCCTTACGTTCATTTTCTGTAAAAAAGAAAAGATGTTCAGAGAATTTTAAGGTATGTAAATAATTGTACTGCAGATAGCCTAGTGATCGAACTTTGACAATAATTCATTGCCTTTTTTTGTTTTATATAATTGACCAACATAATTTGAACTGTAATTGTAAAGTTTTTTTTAAGTATTTTTACGCAATAGATGTTAATTTGAAAATAGCTAAAAAAATAAGCTAAACGAGCCGAGCACAAATTCCTGTAGTGTGGGTGGACCGACTTATAAGCCCCGAACGAGTTCGTTTCGAGCATTTGGTTTACACTCGACTGCGCGCGGCCAATTATCGGTTTTTAGACGAGCACAAAAGGATTTGTATAAAGCTCGAGCATTATGGAAACAACGCAGACAAGTTCAAGCCTTTACAAACGCTTGGATGCCATTTACACGCTTGCCAGTGTTAGTATGTTCTGAATAGGCAAATATAGCAGACGTGGACGATGAAGTTGTGAAGGCTATTGCATATCAATTGACATATTTTTATTCAAAATATAAACACCGACACGCGATAAATAAAATAAAAATCCTCTAGCCCTATCCTAGCCCTACTGCTCAACCAGTAGAGCATTGGGACTTCATGTTGATTTATCAAGTTGAGCAGTCCAATTAAGCAGCGGAGAACAAGCACGCGCCAACGCGTAAATACGTAGCAAGCGATTAAAGCAAGCTTCCTTTAAACTGTGTTCAAAAACTGGCTAGCCCCAATGGCCCCCATCGAAGCCAAGCTCACGCAAGCAAAGTCAAACACCCGTTAACACACTTGTGTTTGTGGACACTTGTCAAGACTTGTGACAAGTGTGTAAACGTACCGCAGCGGCTGTTGCTGCAAAGGAACGGAACGGAAAACTAATCACGAGAAAAGTGATCGTTGTAGGCTCGTTGTCAGATCACACTTGACGCCGCGAACGACAGCGCCCAGAACACCTCTACATATTATATAGATTCAAATTGGACATTTAAACTAACTGTTTTACTTTATACTTAACAATTACTTTTAATGGTAATAAATAACCAATTATGCCTGTTGGTCGGTCGACGGGCTTGTTGGTCTAGTGGTTAGCGACCCTGACTGCTAAGCCGGAGGTCGTGGGTTCGATTCAAACCCAGGACAAATAATTGTGTGATGAGCACGATCATTTGTTCTGTGTCTGGGTGTAATTTATCTATATTATGTATGTATTTAGAAATATATAAGTATGTTTATCAGCAGTCTGATTACCATAGGCTCTGCCTAGTTTGGGATCAGACGGCCGTGTGTGAGATGTGTGAAATTATTATTATTAATTATATCATAGTTTTAGAGCTGGACAGAAAACGATTTTTTTCTACTTTCTAATTAGCTAATTTTAGAGTTTTTACGTACATTAACTAGTTCAATCATAATCTGTAGATAGGCGTCTGCCTCAGCTATCCGCCTCTCCAGGTCGCCGTGGCGGTGTCTCGGCGCCGGCATACAGCGTGACCACCGCTCCCTTCTGCCATGTCTTGATATAGTGTCTTCCAGTGCGCGCACCCATCGCTCGCGCTCAGAACCGTCTCGTGCCTGAAATTAATTGAAACTGACTGACTGAAAACTGAAACCCATTACTGCGGCTGCTTTTTAACCGCTTCTAGAACTAGAAAGAACTATAATCCTATAACTGAGTCATGTTAGGCCTTACAATAGAAATATAAATGTATTTGTGTGACTCTTATGACCTTTCACTAGGTAATCAGTTTCATTTCGTCCCTGTTATTCTAGTGTCTCGGTTTTGTTTAAAATTTGACTATCAAAAATTACTACTGACGTTTGAATGTGAATTGTAAAAATGACTACTCAATAAAACATATTTGAGTTTGAGTTAATTTGTCTGTTTTGCAAGTTGTTGTTGTGTTTATAATACGTGTTCTGTTGTATTTGTGTGACAATACAAATAGAATTATCTGCCATAGTGAAACAGACGGCTATTTTTTGAGAAAGACTAAATTGTGTGCAATGAAACAGATAAGATTACAATCTTGCCCGGCTCGGAACTAATTCCTCCCATCACAACTCCTGTATACCAGGATCAACAGCTGTGGCCAACACCGAGTAATGACACTCGGGAAGTCTCAGGAAAAGTTAAACTGGTCTTAGAATCCGCAACGAAATTAATCAGAAGTAAATCGGAGGAGTTCAAAATATAATAAATCCACATCCCTCCTTAACAAAGCCTGAGACAAAAATTATGTGAAAGTAGGTGTAGGTACAGGTGCACCCTCTTTTCCGGCTTGTACAAAAATAATTACCTGAAAATGGAACGTCTTATGGTCCACAGTGATGGTGAATGTGGAGTCGTCTTCATCATCGATGCCTATGACTGCCGCGCGCAGTCTTACGCAGCCACGCCGCACGCCCCGTGTCATTTTCTCTTTAGACTGGAAAGAGAACAAACTTTGGTTAAATTAATTTGTTAAGAAAATTGCTAACCTTACTTATGGTAACCTGAGGGCTAAGTGCGAGTTTATTTCACATCAATTCGCTCTCGACAGCAAGCGTTTGGTTAAGATTTCATTGCGGGCCAATCGCAGCACCGAACGCGGTCACCGTGACGTGATATAAACTTGCACATGGCCCTCAGATAGTAGTCCTTCCTGTTGGTCTAGTACTTATGACCCTGTCTCTATGCCGGAGGTGGTGGGTTCGATTCCCACTCAGAACAATTAATTGTGTGATGAGCACGATCATTTGTTCTGTATATGGGTGTAGTTTATTTATAATATGCGTATATTTAGAAATATTTAAGTCCATTTATTTATTAGTCATATCTGGTACAGGCTCTGCCTAGTTTGGGACCAGACGGCCGTGTGTGAGATATGCACATAGCATAAGTTAGAATTATTATTAACTAGCTGTACCCTGCCAAGCTTCACAATTGCACATTGGCTTTGTATTGATGTGAAATTAGGAACAAAAGTAACGGAAAAAAATAGATAAAAATATTTTTTGAAGTTTTACTACTATATATGCATATAGCTATTCTATACAGTATATATACCGTGTCAAAATTAGTGTTCAATCGTTGCAGAACTTTCTGTTTTTGAATCGTACATAGACTTTTAAATATTTTTTGTAGACTAAGTGTAATTTTAGTCCCACTTTTGTAATACATAGGTGCACTTTTAATAAATATCTACGTATCATACATAAGTTACACCGAAACAAGAATATTATACAAAATAAAATAATATGAACTGAACGTGACCTCGTACATAGTAATGAACCTCTGTTAAGGCCTAGCTTGCAATTAAAAATAATATATGATAAAACTGATAATAAAATAAATAAAACTAATAATAACCTTTCTAACTTTTAAAATATCGCGTTCCATGCTAAATAATTATGTTTACGGAAATTAAAAGCGCTCACGACAGGTATTTAGTATGTACATACTTCACTAGTACACTGGCCCCATGGTCACAGGCACCTGACCTGTAACCACGTTGCAACCAGGTTGCACTGACCATGGTCACAGGTACTGACCTATGACCACGGTGAGCGCGTTAATTCCCGTAAACAGAATTATTTATTGGCTGTTTTTTTGTAGAGTTATTTAAATCACTTCCTTTTTAGAATACAATAAATATTTTTTATGATATGGGGGAGGGGGGGGAACAAGCAGACGGGTCAAGCGATGGTAAGGCGGTGACTACCGTCGCCCATGAATACCTGTAACTCAAGAGTCACAAGTGTGTTGCCGGCCTTTGAGCGCTCTCCTTGGAATTAAGGGAGATGAGGTGGGTTGAGCCTTCAGTAACAAGCGAAATACTTGGTTAAAACCTATAATTGCCTAGTGGAAGTTTATTTCGCATCAAGTCGCTCGGACAGCAAGCGCTTTTGGCTTTGCGATTGGCCCGCAATGAAATCTTACGGTCACTGTGATGATCGAGTAGATGTGAAATAAACTTGCACTTGGCCCTCCGTGCGAACCAATCGCAGCGCCGAAGGCGCTCACCGTGACGATCAAGGAGATGTTGCATTGACTAATTTTTTTTCTTTAAAAAAGACAACTCCCGCATTAACAATATATCCTGTGTCTTTACAAACATACATGAAACGGACATAAAGAGCACCCAGACCCAGAATATCAATTTGTGGTCTCAAGTATCGGTTGAACTCTAATTGCCTGAAACTAGTTTTAAATGCAGATCAAAACTTAAGTATCGATCTTATTATAGAACGCGTTTTAAGTTTTACTCAGTTTAAACTAGTTTAAGTATTGATTTAAACTTACAGTCTGTTCTCAATTACGTTTCCGCATGATTCACATTATTAATCTGTACTATTTATTTAGAAAAATAACTTTCTTTTCAAACATAATTTCTGTGAATTTGTATATTGTATACTATTGGCTAGTGTAGCAATGTTAACAAATTAACTAGCTTGTTGTTCGTCCAAAATTAAATATAACGAATATTAAAATAAAAATTACTAGATATAGGCTGTAACGGAGCGCTAAGTTATTTATCAACACTTGTCATGTTGAAATGTCAAACAATATTTTTTTTTCTAAAATTTATATTACTAGAATAATATTATTCTTCTAATATAAACCAAAAGGTTGTGGTAATTTTAATTTAAACAAGTGTTGTGGGTGTAAAATGTGAATTTCAGTGAATTTAATATCAAGTAAGGTAAATTAAAGTGGATTTATTATAGTATGAAAAATAATTCTTTCGTAAATAAATTAAAGTAAATCTTTCGTAATTATTCATAAACAAAATATCGTAAAACACATTCATTTTCCCTAAAATTCCCCAGAAATCACCGCTTGAGACTAGTTTCAGCGTGTCTCACGTAAACAAAGATCACCACTGTCAAAATCTATACCTGAGTAAAGATTTCGACATAAACATCGTTCTAAAATAAGCTATCACTCACTTGAGCATGGATCAGTAAATCTCGTTTTAAGTGACGTTCAATAATACAATCTCTACTTAAAATTAGTTTTAAGACTAGATTCACGACTGAGACACCTTTTAAAAGACGGGCCTATGTTATGTGGGTTCAACCCCACATGGGAAGACACATGTCGTCCCTTGTGGGGTTGAACCCACAACACTCAGCATAGTAGTAAGCGGTGTAGCGACCGCTTAAACCACCACGCCATCGGTGCAGTCTTATACCATAATAATCGTACATATATAGAAGATACAGTTACCAACGATTTAATAAACATTACAAGAACCTTAATTAAAAGTTTTATGTCCAAAAGCGGCCTGTTTTCCATTTAGCAAAACATATTTAAACTTATTTAACATATAATCATGAGTACATTCAGTTTCAATGTTAATTTAAACGACAGTGTTACCTTCCATCAGTATTGATTGGTGAACAGTGCAGTGGTGTACGAAAAATGGATACCCTGAAAATAGCTTATAATCAATTTTTTTATGAGCATGCAGGTAAGTAAACAACAGTCGTTACTAGTAAATAAAGAGAAAAAACATTTTCACTGATAATATTTTAAATTATTTAAATCGACATTAAAAAGTTTCAGACATTAAGTGTCAGAGAAAAGATTGATTTTAATTAAAATACTTACTTTTCATTGAATAATCCCACGTTTGGTTTATAGTATTACCGATTAAAAACAACGTAAACATTATGTTAACAGCGCCTTTTAAATTTAGGCCAGGTTCTTTAGTAACTATCAACAAAAAACAAAACGAAGGGACATCATAAAGCACTACGTTTTCTGTTCTCTTTTCAATTTCTATAGTTTAGTAGCCCAGTAGATTGACAAGTTATAAGAATAAATAAAAAGAATTTAGTTTTTCCTCTTTAGGCAGCTTTAATCTTTTGGCAATAAAAATATGGTAGGTTTACTCACGTAAGTAACAATTTAAAAGAACCACAGAGAAAAAAGATAAACTTTCGCTTGAGGAGCTTAGTAGTTTCAACTAGAAAACACCCACAAGCAGTGTAAGTTTAGTGCAGGAAACGTTACGACAGATGATGAATCTTGCATTTATCAACCGGTAAGAGACAGTCAATAAATTCGCTGTTTGAAAATTAGCCAAGTGAAGCGATCGAACCACGCAGAACAGATGCTGATCATTAGTTTTTGTACTATAATAAAATATTTGGTGTACCACAAAATGCTTGACAGAAGTAAACACAACTGTCAGGAGTAAGCGACCAAGTAAGGCATCAAACGCGAATTTTTGCTTCACGAAAACTATAAACGAGGGACTTCGTGCTATTTCCACTTAGCAGCGTGTAGTGTGAAACGAGAATCTTTTCAGTCTCTGAACCACTACATTTATCTTTTTATTATGTATTTATAGCAGTTTTCTAGTACTCATAGTACAAGCTCCGCTTAGTTGTGTGAATGTGGTAGAATATTATTATTGTAAGAAGTGTCTCGCAATGGTATAGATGCATCACCCTTTGCACATATGATGGCGGACAATTATATGTAAAAATTTAATTTAAAAAATGATTCGCCCTCGTACAATAATAGTTTTTGGTTTTTTTACGGGTTGTTGTATGGGAAAAAATCGGTCATAATATGTGGCGTTCCAAAATTTTTAATATCTAGTTCTAAACTCTTAGGATGCGAAATTATGATGTAAGGAGATCTATAGATGTTAACATTCCACTCTGATTTTTAGGGAAATTGACATTGACATTAAATTCTTCTATGTGCTGGTACATAAAATTTAAATAAATAGATATTAAGGAACTCTCTATTATATTTGGTGTTCTTTATTATTTATACTAAAATATATTCTTTTAAAGCTGACCTACGTTAAGAAACGGAGCCAATACTCTGACGTAATGTTATAATATTGCTAATTAATCAAATGCATGGTCACTTAATTGTATTTAAATTCTCTCAAGTACTGTAAATTGTTCTAACGAACGGTATTTAGACCCACTCAAAAAGCCGATTTAAATTGAAACTCGCACACTTAATAAGGACCGAAAAATTTAGCAGATTATCCTGATTAGAATCCTTAGGATTAACGTCTTTTTCGATACCTAAAAATACGTCTTTTACCACGTACTAAGAGACGTGTGCTGAAGCATATGTTACTTATTTACTTGTTACTTTTTTAAGTCTTAATAAGAATCATCATGAATGACGAAAAAAGGCAAAAATAGATTATGATTTATTTTGGCAACAGATAACATTTAGTGTATTAGGTAAACCAGTCATATCTCTCATATGACGGATGTGTTGGTCTAGTGGTTAGAGATTCTGACTGCAAAGTAAGAGGTTTGATTCAGACCCAGGCCAAATAATTACTTTATTTTATCTTTTTAAGACGACAACTCCCGCACTAGGAATAAATTTATAAACATGCATGAAACGGACACAAAGGACACCCAGACTCATAACAACAATTTGTGGATCACACAAACTGTTGTC